TATGGACTCAGAGAGGTTTCAAGTAGGAACCATTTGAACACTTGACAAAATTTCAAGGATTATACAATAGGAGGATAGATACCCTTTAGTTGAAATGAAATCTTTGTACATCGGAGGAATTGGCTGATGCGGATCCGATAGCGGTGTGTTGTCACCACCCGGATGATCATCCTGCAAACCGGAGATGTTTTCAGAGTCGACGATTTCAGCCTATGAATAACAAATCCAACTTTAACGACCGATATTACAACTAGAAAACCACTGTGAAGCTTTCATAAAAAAGATACGATACTATATTGGTAATGATAAAGTAAGAAAGGAAAACAGCTCACATCTCTGCCGAACACATCTTTTTGAACGAAGAGGAACAGCACAAGAATATAATCAAAAATAATGATTGGATTCGATGATGCTGAGGACGGTAAGAGGAAGTAGCGTTTAATCGATTTTGGCCAAACACTCCAGAATTGCAGAAAACATTTCGAGAACTGAAATTATTGCAATCATACGGATGAATTTCAGTTAACAATTACAAATTATTTATCACTAAAACAATGCAACCATTGAAAATCATTTATCAATTGATAGAAACCGAAAGCTTAGCCACAATTCTCACCGAATGCGTTCATGTCATTTAGAATTTCCAAAAGAATAATGCAATACCTGATGAGGAGTGCCCAAAGTTGAAACGTATTCCACAATTAGAACTGCTAATAAGGTACGTGTATAGGCAGCCCAGAGTAACGCTTGTCTGTGCCTTGCAAATATTCTCAACAGCAATACTGAGATTAATAAGAAAAGACCGAAGATATCCTTATGAATACACGCCAATATGAGTCCACAAATCAAAGACGCCTGAAATTTGAGATAGAAGAGCATACAGTCTTCGATCGCATTTCTTTCATCAGCACTCCTTATGAGACTGGTAATAACAGCAATAATAATGCCCTTTTCTAAAAACTCAAAATCGTTCCACTCTTCAATTGATTCAGCTCAACGAAAAAAAATCTCAAAGAGCACCGAAAGGATTGAAATTTCAGACTCTGAACGTAACTCAAGGTAATGGATAATGGTATTTCTCATTTCCGAACAACACCTATTTATGGTTCAAATGCAAACTTCAACTTACTTCAACACCAAACTTATGCATCCAATATTTTGCTAAATATTTCATCAGGGAAGTGATATCCTGAAAAACGACACCAATTATCAGCTACATTAATATCCGTAGTTATCAAGTACGTAAAAAGAATGAAGATCGCAAGTCATCAGAAATAGCACATCAAAATTATCTGCACTTTAGGCCTTTACAATAAAGAATGCTCTAGCATTCAGATCAGTCAATAAATGAATTTTGACCGCATTTCAATTCATTACCGAATTCCAGTCATATACGTTTATAGAAGTATGTGTATATGTAATTGGGGTGAGTTTTGAATTTTATGATTACGTACGAAATCTTAAAAAAATTTCGGAAGAGTGACCAACCTTCTCGGCATCAACTCGCTTTATCTCACTCAGCCATTGCGATTTGTCAACTGCAACTGCTGGTCGCATCGAAATCATGAATAACAACACTATAACTGGCCATGTCTGCAAGAAATTCAAAGAATTACAACACCAAACATACACGATCGCAACATCAACACTCCATCCATCAAAAACACTCTCTTCACCTCTCCATTACCTCCCCAATCTGCAACGCTCCCTTAAGCTCTAACGAAGTTCTTAACAGCAATCTTCATTTTACTCCGCCATTATTTATTCTTTGCCGATCGCAACAAAAGTAACACGAGATCACTTTCCACATCTGATGATTTCAAAAACAAAAATAACGAATACCTGTGCAGGCCAAAATCCTAGCCACTGTGCGGTATTTCGATCGATAACGAAAGCTTGCTGACAACTCTCCGGAAACACGAGTACGGGTAACTGCATTGCCGAACTCAGAAATGAGAACAGCCATATTAGTGCCAGAAGGATGCTCGCAATACAACTGGCCACTCTACCTGAAATAGAAAGTACAACAAAATTCTATTCAGTGAGCTCACCTGTCGCATTGCCACTGAATCAATTCATTGACCTGCATGGCGGTTCCCTTCATATGTATTTGATATGGATATCCAAACGATTAAAAATTTTAAATTGCGAAACCTTGAGAAGCATTAAACAAAAAGCTATTTTCACGAGCCGATAGATGAGAAATATGAATGAGATCAGCCAACTAACATATTTTTGGTTTTGAGATGAAAATAAGTAACGAAAGCAACATAAGCAGAAGACCGATTACAGATATATTGCATGCGGCAAATATACAAATAGAGAGCGACAGAATGGTATCGTAATGTACGAAAACTGTTTGTGAGATGGGTGACGATGGATGTAATGTAATGTCCAGTGAAGTTTCGAATCTGCAATGTTTCCATTCTAATATGTATCTAAATAAGTGCTAGACTCTGCTAGATTACACACGCAATAAAACGAAATGTCTCACTAGAAAAGAAAACCATCTTAAAGTGAAGGTGTAAAACAAACTTTTTCATATGAACAAATATGAGCAGTAAAATGAAGAGGATTGGAAGCCATAATGCCACGATTAATTCACCAGCTTCTTTCGATATCCATTCTTCAGGTTTTAACGCTGGCCAATCCCCATATATTAGCAAATATAAATAATAAAAACATACGTACAATATACCTGAAAACAATACACCATCAATTTAAGATAAAAGTAATTTATTCACTTGTAATCGAATTCGATTATGATTTGGTGCAACGGTACAAAATTTAAATACATTATGAACAAGTGGAATAGACAAAATAAAGATAAGGAATATTCACAAATCAACTAAAAATCAATGGACATTAACTGTAACTCACATGCAAACAGACATACAAAAGGCGTGATCCATTCGTACGTCCGACCACTCTCGAAACTCACTGACAATCGCCGAATACATCGTTGTGGCATAGCACTCAGCTGACATCCATCCAAGTGGCGCATTATATAGAATGGTATACTGAACAGCCACTTAAACACAACTCTGTTACATTGTCAACTTTATCATAATTATATCAAATCATTAAATTATAGATTTTCAAAAAATTTCAATGTTTACAAATTTCCGTAAGAAATTCGGAAATTGTATCATTTCCACAAGCAGCAAAACAGTTTCCCAGTACTTCTGTATTCT